AATTGGCTTCTTGTTTAAAATGCTATAAAATCTTCCTGGGCTCAGTTCTTATACATATATTTGTTGCTCCGTGACAAAGATCAGTAACCCAAATGCCAAATCTTTCTGAAGTTACTTTTGGAAATAAAGTTTGTGTGAATATGGCAAGCAAATTCACTTTACATAGCCCACAGCTGCTAGCAGCAGAGCTGAGTAGTTGCAACAGAGGCCAAATGGCCATCAAAGCTTAAAATATTATGTCCCTTTAATTATGAAAAAAATCTGTAGGGGATAAAGGTGCTGGAGAAATGGCTGAAGGTCAAAAGGTACAAACTTCCATCATAAATAAGTCTTGGGAATATAATGAACAATGTGGTGACTATAGTTAATGATACTATAAATCATATTTGATTAGGAATAGATTTTTAAAAGTTTTCATCACAAGAAAATGATGATAGATATCATTTTCTAATATACACAAATACTAAATCATTATGCTGTATGTTGATACCAATCAAATAATGAGAAAGATCCAAGAAAATCATTTCTCTAGAATAATGTATGCATCTTGTACAAAATAAACCCTAAATGTATTCTAGGGTTATGTAAAATTTCAATGTGAATTAAAAATGTATTTCAAGAAAAAATTACCTGTGCCTTCCTTAGTGATGTATACATTTTAAAAATTTTAAACGTTTGAAATCGTACAGTGTCTCCACCTGACTTAGATCACCAAGCATGTTGTTGTAAAATCCAAGCATGTTGTTGTAAAAGGCAGATCTTAACTTTCTATAATAGCTGAATATTATTCCTCTGTGTACAGGTACCATATCTTTATTCATTGGCAGTTGATGGTCACTTGGTTTGTATCCAGTTCTTTTTTTTTAAATATATTCACTACATCATCCTTCATTTTTGTACAAGGTATGATTTCCCCATGAAATTCCCACCACTAATTCACCCCCGCACCATCGCCACAACCCCTTGTGGTCTTCCCACTCCTGTCCTCATTTTTCTCACTCCTCCTCCCCTACAGAATGTCTCTGATCTAGTTTCCTGATGATTTTGATTTTTACTTTATTATAGTTACTAATTTTTTCTGATTTCTTTTTTGTTTTCTATACATAGAAAAAGCAAACAAATACAAATAAAACAAAACTAAACTTTTGTACTATAACATCAATTAGTGGCTATCAGAACAGAAAGAGAAAGGGGAGTGGGTAAATTGGAACTAGAGAATAATTGTATGGTCAAGTATAGAACTGAATTTTTAGTGATAAACTTAGTATAGTATATAGAGAGGCTGATTCTCAATGATGATGCACACCTGAAACTTATTTAATGGTACAATGTAATGTTTATCAATAAAGACATTTTCTTACTTCAAAAAAAATTTTATATGTTTGTTTTCACGAGGTCCCTCTGACTTTATGCCTTCTGCTAAAGTTACTGAAAGAAAAATTTCATTGCTCATATTAATAAGGCCAGATACTGTCCCTCCATAAAACAGTCAGCTGACCCTCAAGTATAAAGTGGAGAAAAGTCTTCTACAATAAAAATCAAGGTGCTCTAAAAAAAATCAAGGTGCTCTACTGTAAACTCATCATCACCGAACAGGAAGTCCTAGTGTGAAGCTGAGCTGAGCTGGGGAAAAAGCCATGTGGTGCCTTGGAAACAAGAAACAGAAGTGGCTCCTGTCTCTGACACATAATAGCTGGTATGGCCACAGAAGTTTCTTTACATAGCACAAAATGACACATCAAGCTCAAACCCCAACACACCATGATTCTTGTTACTAACAGAAAAGTCAATGGCAAAAGGATCAGAATTGGGTCTCTTATAAAAATTAGGCAGAATAGTCTTGCTGGGAGGGGTCTTCATTACTTACCACTAAAGATTTCTATGGACAAACAAGGACCAAATCTAATCAGGCCTCCAAGACCAGCACTAATCACATACCCAGAGAGACAGGGAAGAAACTAACCACTTCAACATACTTTTAAAAACAGAGTTTTTTAAAATTCTAAAAAAATCACAGTAATTTTCATGTTACTATAATTTTTCCAGTTGTACTCCACAGAGCTTTAGAAATTTTACAAATAGGTGTGTGTTTAAGGGACTACTCTCAAATAAAATAACAGAACATGCTCACATGTCCCAAGATTAAAGTTTCAAGCTAAGGATAAGAGAACAGAGCCTTCCAATGCCCATAATTCTGTACTGGTAGGCTCAATATTATGTAGTTCCTCAAATCAAAGCTTTTCTTCTCATCTCTTATTAATCATACAGCACAATGCTTAGGAGAATCATCCTTACAACAGTATGTGCACTAAGCTTGTCTTACAGTAGTATAACCAAAAAGAAAAATATGAACAAATAAGTGTCACAACATCAGCGACTATCACTTATAACCCTAACTGCATGGCAAACGTCATAGGATTAATGCTATTCACTTAACAGTGAAGCTAACCATTCTGAACTTTCAAAACTACTGCTTTAACCTGTTACATATTAAGTTAGAAAACTATGAACCTATGGTATACTGAAGATCATAAACATCAACTGGTATGGAGAGCATTCATGTACCTTGAATCCCAGAGATTTCCAGAGAGAGAGAGAAAGCACTGGTGGAAGTGAAATGGGGTTAGTCAGCCAGACTAGAACATGGCCATTGTTTCAAAACCTTGATTGGGGGTGGAGGAGTTCCCTCTTCAATTGTAAATGTGAATCCCCTGAGCTATGGTAGTACAGGGGAAAAACACTTGACCCAGAGGTTTCAGTTTAAATCATTGCTTGGTAATTAGATGGTTCTATAACCACTAACAAATCATTATAAATAGCTGTATGATTTTATTTTCCTAATTACAAAACAGGAAAAATAAATGCTTAAGACATTCTTCTTCGAGGTGAAATGATAGTAATAAAAAACACTCCAGAGATGTTAACTCACTACTCCATTGTACAGCTGACACTCAAGTAGAAAGGGCACTATTATGGTACATCCATACCACAGAACATTACTCCACAATAAAAAATAATTGACTATCAAAAGAATAAAGGATAAAGCTCAAGGAAATTATATCGAATGAAAAAAGTCACTCAAAAAAAAATACATAATTACACTGACCAAAATCATAAAATTATATAATTACGAATGGAAATCAGACTAGTGGTTTTCAAGTTTTAAGGATGGGGAGGAAGGGATAGTTGTGACTAAAAAGGGGAATAATATGATTGAGTGATTGAGTTGGGTATTTGGATTGTGGTGGTTATTAAACAAGGCTATATTTCCTGCAAAATTGCACAGAACTATACACATACACAAATTTGGCAAGGTTTATGGATTGTACAATGTCAAGATCTTGGTTTTGATTCTGTACTATGGCTGTGTGGGCTGTTGGCATAGGAGATGGATCTGGGAAAGGGCTCATGGCAATTCCCTAAACAACATTTCTTTGCAAATTCTGTGAAATCTAAAATTATTTCAAAATAGAACTCAATAAAAAAGCAAAAGCAACTGGTCCTAATGTTCTGGTCCTTCTGAAAGTCTTTTAAAGAACTGTAACAAAGTTCTCGGTGTTTCAACAAAGCAAAAGAAAAAGAGACTGAGTACAAAGAAGACGAACACGAACTCAAAGTTAAGTGGCATAAATCCAACTCTGTAAGAGCCATAAGTGAATTTCACAAAACAATGCCATGTTGACCTATAACAATATAAAGACAAGCAGATAAACTTCTAACACAGAAAATTGGCCAAGGACGCCAGCCCTTTCCCCATAATTTCAATAGCACATATGGATTCTTAGTCAACACTAGGTAATCAACCTCTTCTCTGGGGACAATTCTCCAACTCCATCACATCCTAACAGAGGGAGTCCACCAGCAGCCTTTTTTATATACCATAACCCAGTCTACACTCCCAAACATCCACCAAGCCAGATGATTAGACCAAAGATGTGCATTTGGTCATAATAAACCTCTTCCTCTCTCATCACAGATGACTGTTTCAAAGGCTAGTATCTGATCTAAACAAGAAGAGAATTCCTTACTTGGGAATTTATAACTGGGACTGATTCCAACCTCTGCCTAGCCTAGTCTCTTCAATATAAACATGTAAAACTGAGAGGAAAAGGGAGAGGTCATGGGTGACCACTTTGCATTTTGAAAGAAAACCAGCCTGTGGAAAAGAGCCAAATGGACTCCACAAAGAAACAGTGAAAGAAGTCAAAACCCTCACGATGGAATTCGAGACTCCTGACTATGGAAGCACAACTTTGCCCCTCAGTTCCGGGATCCAGTCTGCTGTGTCAGCAATATTTGTACTTAACCCCCATAAGAATGCTAGTCAAAATAACCATGACCTTCTTTTAAATCTCAGGTTCCTTGGGCAGAACAGACAGCTGTCAAGGCCCTCAGGGTATTTATAATACCCCTCAAAAGTAGCAGGCACCTCCACCTCCTTTTGTTTTTGTGATTAAAAAAAAAAAAGGACCAGCACCAAGACAGCTGACCATTAATGGTTGTCCCAAGCAGGCAAGGGAGGGAGACCTACCCATAGGCAGATCCCAAAGGCAGAAATGATAGATATGAGTGTCAAGAAAATAAGAAACAAGAAGTAGAGAAGTTATAAAACTCCGTTTAAGTCATTAAAAAAAATTACCTCAAGGCGAAGATTAAACTAACTCTAAAGATGTGGGTCTCTGTCATTCAACTCCTCACTGTGTGACCACAGGTAAGGCCCTTCTCATGTAGTTCCCAGCTGCACCAAGCAGCACATAAAACATCTAGACTCAATAGTCTCTCAAGTCCTCGTTTATTCTATTAGTAGGCTAGCTACAACAGCCTGAAATTCAGAGGAAACTGAACCAAAAAGCAAACCTCAACCTGATGCTGATAATACTGCCTATAGGGGTAAGTGAGTCACTCACTGTTTTTGGTGGTTTCTAACTGCAGTACCTCAAAATTCTCTCCAAGGATCATGTTGTGTTCCTCTACACCTATCTCCTGGAAGCTCTACCTACCTGAATCATGAAGTCATTTTCCTCCTGGACTTCACAGATGCAGCGGACCACTTCAAAATCATAGCGTTCATCCCCATCAAGTTCCTCATCTGGGTTGGTGGTCACATCGACATCTTGGCTGTATTCTTCATCACTCCAAAGAAAGCTCTCTGAGGAAGACTCGCTTAGATTATCCTCCTCTGAGAGGGAAGATAAAAGATCACTATTTTAAATATAAAATTCTACAAGTTTAGATTGTTAGGAATGGAAATGATATTACAGATTCTCCTCTCTGAACCTTCACAAAACCTGGAAATAGGGACAATAATCTATTCTGTGGGTCTGTCATCCCATAATTACATCTCAAAGATACAGGCTGGCTGGCAATGAATTAAACTCCATTTCCTCCCTTTACTGAGTAAGGCCCAAGGTAAGCAGTGCTCAAAGTCACAGAGCTCATTGACAGAAGAGCTATAATTCCCCATGAACCACACAGATCATCAACAATAACAACTCAAACATGTTCCTCAACCTGAACACATCCAGCCAGAACAGGTCTGTACCATCTATATAAAGAGTCGCCTAAAAAACCCTGTAGACGAGCACAAGAATGGTTCAACATCAGATAATCAATTAATGTAATCCTTCACATCAACCAACAGAAAAATAAAAACCACATAACCATATCAATAGATGTGGAGAAGGCATTTGACAAGGTTCAAACCCCATTTATGTTTAAGGCCCTCGAAATCCTTGGAATTGAAGGATCATACCTCAACATGATAAAAGACATGTAGGACAAACTCAATATTCTCCTCAACAGAGAAAAGCTGAAAGCCTTTCTTTTGAGATCAGGAACAAGACAAGGGTGTCTACTATCGCCACTGCTCTTCAACATAACACCGGAATTTCTAGCCAGAGAAATAAGACAGGAAAAAGACATCCAAATAAGGAAAGAAGTAAAACTGTCCTTATTTGCAGATGATATGTTAATTTGCATGGAAAACCCTAAAAACCATCAACCAGTTTGGCAAGGTAGCAGGATATAAAATCAATATACAAAAGTCAGAGGCTTTCCTATAGACAAACAACCAATCAGAAGAAGCAGTAAAAAACAAACAAACAAACAAAAAAAAACCATCCCCTTTTCAATTAAAACAAAAATAATCAATAACTGGGAATCAACCTAACAAAAGAGGTAAAAATCTATACAAAGAAAATTACAAAACACTGTTAAAAGAAATACAAGAAGACACCATGAAATGGAAAGACATCCCCTACTCATGGATCGGGAGAATTAACATCGTCAAAATGGCCATCCTGCCAAAAACGATACACAGATTTAATGCCATCCCAATAAGTCTCAATGACATTCTTTAAAGAAATAGAAAAAATACTGATGAGATTCATATGGAACAACAAAAGAATTTGAATAGCCAAAACTTTCATGACTAAGAAGAGAATAGAGGCATTACAATCCCAAACTTCAAGCTGTAGTACAAAGTCATAATAATCAAAACTGCATGGTACTGGAACAAGAATAGACATACAGACCAGTGGATTCAAATAGAAAACCCAGATATAAACCCGCAGGTTTATGGGCAGCTAATCTTTGACAAAGGAGCAAAGAAGATACAATGGAACACAAAGAAAGTTTGTTTAGAAAATGGTGCTGGGAAAACTGGGAAGCTACATGCAAAAAAATGAAACTAGATCACTACCTCACACCATACACAAAAATCAACTCAAAGTGAATTAAAGACCTAGACATGAATGGAAACCATAAAATACCTGGAAGCAAAGATGGGCGAAACACTGCACAACATATACTTCGGTGACATCTTTGAAGATACAGCACCCAATGCCACAATAGTGATGGCAAGGATAAATAGATGGGACTACATCAAGTTAAGGAGCTTCTGTACAGCAAAAGAGACATTACAAAAAACAGACAGACAGCCCACTGATTGGGAATAAATTTCTCACACAAAACTAGTGATATAGGATTGATTGCAAAGATATACAAAGAACTGATGAAACTCAACAAAAATAAACAACCCCACAAAAAAAGGGCAGAAGAGCTAAAAAGACACTTCAAAGAGGAAAGCGGATGGCCAACAAGCATATGAAAGAGTGTTCAACATCACTTGTAGTAAGGGAGATGCAAATTAAAAACACAATGAGATACCACCTCACCCCAGTGAGAATGGCACATCTTCAAACAACTAGCAACAACAAATGTTAGCGAGGATGTGGAGAAAAAGGAACTCTCCTGCACTGCTGGTGGGAATGCAAACTAGTACAACCACTATGGAAAACTGTTTGGAGGTTCCTTAAATTGCTAAACATGGAGCTTCCATATGACCCAGCAAGCCCACTCCTAGGTATCTACCCAAAAGACACAAAAACACTGATTCAAAAAGATACCTGCACCCCCATGTTTACTGCTGCTTTATTTACAATTGGAAGAACATGGATGCAGCCCAAATGCCCAAAAGTGGATGACTGGATTAAAAAGATGTGGTACATATACGCAATGGAATATTACTCAGCAACCAAAAAAAAGAAACATGTCTTTTGCAGCAACATGGATGGAGCTGGAAATGGTCATGCTTAGTGAAATAAGCCAGAAAGAAAAGCAAAACTACCATATGGTTTCACTCATAACAGGAGTATAACGGACCAGATGAGAAAATAATAATAATGAACAGCTTTATACCAGGGACATTTTATGGGGGTGGAGTGGGGAATGGGATCAAAAACAGTGCGGGGAAGGAAACCCACTGGACTATGGTGATGGCACATGGGTGATTTGGTGATGGGAAGCCCATGGGGATTACAACTGCGATGGAAAAGGCACAAAATGATATAAAAATAAACTTATTATTTAAAAAAAAAAGATACCACTCATTAAATATGGAAAATAAAAAATACTAATACCCAGAAGTGGGGGGAAAAAAAAAAAACACCTGTAGACAGCGAATGAGGAAGGGATAGATTCCAAGTGTAATCAGAACTAGAATCACTAGTTCATGGTACCTGATCAGTTATAATTACAGCTGACTTTTTTAATGACTACATATTCTGTATCAGACACTAGTCTAAGTATTTTTCCATTAACTTATTTACTCCTTTTAAACCACAATCACCCTGTAAGTGGCTTCAAGTTTGAGTCAGACCTCTCCCCTTCTACCCCCAACAAAGGAAGGAATGGGATACTGGATTTGGTTACTTAACAACTGGCTTCAAGGTACCTAAGGTACATTTAATTGACATCAAAGTTGGAGAAAAAAAAGTTGAGTTCAGGGAAGGCTCAGTTAATGTTGCTTGTTTAATCTCATGTCCTGACCCGTCCATTGCTTCCCTCAGTAGTGTACTTCATCAATCTGCCTGTTATACTCCCCACTCTGTCTCTGGTGAAACCTTTCACCAACCCTGTACCTCTGGCCTGTACCCCAGTTCTGTATACATAAATAAATAAATCTTTAAGAAACAAAAAAGAGAAAACTGCATTTAAAATATATATAACACATTATATGATGCAAAGGTCTGAGGAGTATCAACACAAACCAGCCTTCTCAGTAGTTACTATGCAAGTGAGAGGAAAGAGGTTCCTTACCACATAATTTCACTTTCCCTTTGTGGTTTCCAGGTTCTGTACCATGGAGCTGAGGGCTCATATAAACCCCAGGCTTGTGTGAGGACCCACACCTGGTAACAGCAAATGCCTTCGGTGGTGAAAGTTCCTGGGAAGTGTCACTGATCTCTTCACTGCAGGGGCATTCTGGAAAAACAGAAGCAGGGAAATATTAGCAACCCCAGACATCAGGATCAATTCCATCTATCCAGGGCATACCAGAATCAATCCCATCCATCTAACCAGTTCTGCCCTTCAAACAGCTCAAAGGCTCAGGAACAATTCAACTACAAAGTAGTAAGGAACACAAATTAAGGGATTAATACTTGCAGCCTACCTCCAAGAACCTCAAAAACATCTCATCATCATCACCCTTTCCCCCTTCTCGAAAGGGTTCAGATGTGTATTTAAGAGTAGTGTGTGCAAACATAATCATTCAACTACATATCCCCTATGAAGCTTTTACACACACTGCCCTATAACAGGGCACATCAGCTAATTCAGCAAGAAAAGGGGATGAGTTCTATGAATGCTCACAGGGCTTGGAACACCTGAGGTACAAGTAAAGGCCTGCTGGCCCTTTCTCTCCTCAATGCAAAAGAGGCCAGAACTGGGGAACAGGCACCCTTAGAAAAGAAACCCAAGTAAAACATCTCAGGGGAAAAATTACCAGGTTTAGTTTTCTTTTTCTTTTTCTTTTTCTTCTTTGGCTTCATTCTCACAAACTCTTTGAATTTCTTCTCTTTATTCTTTTCCTTGTCTTTTGCAGCTAGAAATACAAATTTAAGTACTGGTGTTGAATGTTTTGTTTTCAACTCTGGGATGTTTAGTCTTACATAAAGAAACATGTCCAATGTGAAGAACTAACACACATAAGGTAAAGAATAGAGCTGCTACGCTGACTCTGCCTCAGAGGTCATTTTCCATCCTTATCAGGGATCTGGGGCCCTTCCTCTATCACTCAACTTTTAGGTCAGGGGTCTGCAAATTCTGGCCCACTTGTCTATTAAAGTTTTACTGAAACACACCATGCTCACTCTTTACAATATGACTCCAACTGCTTTCCTGTTTTAATGACAGAGTTGAATATTAAGGACAGAGACCTTATAACCCTCAAAGCTGAAAATACATACTGTCTGGCCCTTTATTAAAAGCTTATCAACTCTACTTAGATCACTAACCCTCACACTGGCTACATTTCTAATCGCTAGAAGAGATTTTTAAAAAGTAAATGCCTGGACCCATCAACAGAAATATTGATTTAATTGACTGAGATACAGTCTGGACATCAGGATTTTGTTTTTCTTTTTGGAATTGAGGTACAATTCACGTAATACAAAATTAACCACCTAACAAGTAAGCAACTCACACTTTCCAAAAACAATTTCACTCTGCCACTCCTCACAGCAAAATATTTTACAGTATCAATACCCCTTATCTAAACTACTCACTTCACAATTTTTCCTAATTCCATTCTTAAAAGCTTCCTACTGTTCAACTGAATATTACTAAAAGTCAAAACGAGCCTCATCATTGCAAAAGTCCAGGTATTTCTTCTATTTACCAAATATATTCGTGGGATTTCAAATAACTGGATAGTGGTTGACTTTTTAGATATTAAATGTATCCCATTATAAAACTATTCCATTCTGAGATACCAACTCAAGAGAAAAGGTAACATATGCCCACATAGAAACTTGTTCATAAATCCCCATGGAAGCTTTGTAATCATCCAAATACGAAAATGCCCAAATGTCCACTAACAGGTGAATAGGCAAGGAATTTGTAGTATATCCTACAGGGATACCTTTCAACAATAAAAGTGATAATTGCTAACACATGATGCACCTCAGCGACTCTCAAAATAAGCACACTCAAACAAGCCACAAAAAATGAATGAATACTGCATGATTCCACATACATAAAATTTTAAGAAATGAAAAGTAACACATAGCAATAGAAAGTAGAATATCTTAGGAAAATGAATCCAACAATGCATCAAAAGGAAAACTCTTTCCAAAAACTGAGAAAGAAGGAATACTACCAAATACATTTTATGAGGTCAGCATCACACTAATATCAAAACCAAACAAAGACAACACACAAAAAAAGAAAATAGATGAGTGTCTGCATAGGGATGTGAGGGAGAGATGGATGGGAAGGAGAAATTAAAAGGTGCATGAGCTTTCTCCCTTCTTCTCCCACCAGTGGGTTGTGTGTGCTTGACTCTCCCTTTCAGGATCAAGCAATTGCTAGTCAAGAGACAAAAGCAGAATCGCCCCATTCCCCAATGAACTCGAATGAACACAGGTAATTAAATCAGGTACAATCCCAACAGAAAACACTGCAGAAGAACCAGTCTGGGTCAGTAAGGAATTGCACAGGAACAGCACACATTCTTATGCTCTATCAAGATCAGTAGCATCTTACCATGTCACACTGGAAAGGAAAAAAATCACCATTAATTGGACACGGTCTCTCTTTGTATTCTTTTGTACCTAGCAAATTGGTTGTCTCCGTTATATATATATATAT